CTTTTCAACAATTTCTTGGAAGCCGAGGTCAATTTGTTAAACATTGAAAAGACTAGATTTGCATTTCTTGGTAGCGTCGGATTCCTGCCTCAAAAGTAGAAAAACAAGAGTTCTATAAAATATTGAATAACCAAAACACGAAAACTCATCTAAGGCTGCGTTCATAATGTATTGCAGAGGTGCGCGGAGGGGTGGGGGGGAGGAGGGAAAATTTTGGTAGGAAAAAGGGGGGATGGGCAAATTTTTATCAGAAAAATGGGAGGATGAACAATTTTTGGAAGAAGCTACAAGCCTTGCTTAGGGGGGGATCGTTTTTTTTGTTTTTGTTTTTTGTTTTTTGTTTGCATGACTTTAAGGGGGGTGTTAAGAATTATTCTGCCAAAGGCAAAGGCACCGTGTAAATCAGTTTTACATTGGCTTAAAAGACAATAAACTAAACTAAACAACACAACGATAACAGATTTAAAATTATCCAATCGAGAATCCCAATGCATTGATTGAGGTTTTTCGTTTTTCAAAATTTTCAAATACAAATTTTGCTATTGCGTTTTGTAGTGGCTTTGGAGGATTTATCAACAGTAAAAATTTCTCATTTTCATTTTTRTTGTGTAAGCTAATATTTTCTGACGATTTGAGTCTTTCAACAATCTTAGACCTTTCTTCTGAGTAATAAGGACATGTTACAAGAAATGTTTTTCATCTAATTCTATGCCAAGTTTGCATATTTTGCATATTCTTTCTTCTGGTTTGACGTATGGCTTTGAATATCTGCCACTTTCAATTTCTAATGGGTGGTCACTTATTCTTAGTATTGTTAAATGTATTCTGTGTTTGATATTGCTGACTTCTCTGAGGTATTCTTCTTGCTTGTAATCTATTTTAAAGCACCTATATGTTCTTAATTTGTTCTTTTGGGAGCCCTTTCTTCCACTACTGTCACAGTGTCTTTTTTCAAACCATAGTTGAATTTCCTGATCTTCAAGTCTTTCTTTACATTGTTTAAAAATCGTTTCCCAGTGATTTTCTGTAAAATCGTACTTGTAACTCTGTTGCCAAATGAAACTAAATCCTAGATTATTTATAATCGTACATTATGAACGCAGCCTAAGCATCGATAAGAAACCAGACCAACAACCAACAACAAACGATTATCAAAATTTATCGGAAATTTCCTTCCTTGAAATATCAGACGTGCCTTGGATTATTATAAGGCATGTTTATTTCTATACTCATTTAGATTTTACAGCTATTTCAAAATGGGTTGGCAAACATTTCCCTGCATATAGTTTCCAAGTTATACGTTTCTTACTAAGTTTAAATTATAGCTACCTGTATTGTTAAGATCTACTTATAGAGTCATTTGGCTGTAGGTTTGGGTCTGCTTGTTTGGGTGTGGTTTGGTTGTTGATGCTTTTTCTTTTTTGCTTGTTTGCCAATGCTTCAGAATTAGTTTTCTTCCTTGCTTGTTTGATTGTTTCATCGAGTACTTGTTTACACGTTCGTTCGTTCGTTCGTTCCCGGGTCATTACTTTTGTATATATTGTGAAATTTGAGTTTTAGACCTGTAACAATCAAATATAACTCCAATATACACTCCCTTATAAACCAACACAGGAACTTTGTTTGGGCTGCCTGTAATTCAAGCTACACAAACATCGCACAGTTCACTCAAGCCACAAAGGCATAAGCCATTCATTCAATCCACGCAGGCATTCACTGCAAGCAATGAAATTAAGCCACACACGCATATTTTCCGGTTTCATGATTTGCTGGTGTTGTCGCACTTTAAATATTTATAAACTTTTTCCTATATACGCCTCTCTTTTTGTAATAAATTTCCTAAATACTTGTTGTTGTTACAGCAGTGCAGTATCCACTCACGGACTTGTCTGTGTTTCACTCAGTGAGTCCAAGGGCTCTATAGTAAAATGGAGTTGTACGTGTACAACATCGCTTCCTCGTCATTTGTCTTCCTCTTTGCGATGGTGTTTTTAGTGACTTGGCTTATTTTCTTGATAAAAGGAATAGAGAACGATCTGGTGGACTTTATAGCCTTCAACATGTTCCCAGGCATCCTAAAGTCCGAGCAAAACGACAGGAACGAGATTGTGGTTCATCTAAGACAGGGAGAAGGACAGGGAGAAGTCCTATTACAGGGACATACCCTCCTAAAAGCTAAGATGGCATTGTTTTGCGTTTGTCTTGCTTTTATAGCTGGTGTCGTAATCGGATTTGGTGAGTTCCTTTTCCTCGAGATTTCACACGACTGCAAAAACGATCAAAGTCATGATTGCTTCGAGTACCCTATCCACGATGTATTTCATGCTGTACGTGCAAATTGCTCTGACCCAGATATCTTGCAAGGCAAGACTCGAGTCATTTGCTACACATTGGTATTCAAGTTTGAGCTTGCTGTTGGCATAAGTTACGGGATGTACATAGTTTGCCAGCAACTTTTGAGGCTTACTTTAACTTTGTTCCTCAAAATGAACCAGAATAATTTAAAGTATTTTCAGTTATCAGTTTTCCTTATCACGTTCATCATTTGTGTCACTGCTGGCGTATTCTTTTATTCCCATCCTTTCTTTAGAATGAACGATAAGGATCCGGAGTTGAAATGGATCCTTACTGTTTTATCGGGATTTCTAACAGTAAATATATATAACTATTTTATGCCATGGGCTGAAATTATCGAAGAAAGAAACAGATAAAAGACTGCATGAGGAAGTAGGCTTGGATAACATAATCCCAACAAGTTCAATTTAAAAATAAATGTCTTTATTGTAAATAGATAAAAGTACATATCTATCCTTACATAGGTAATTGTGACAAAATACTAAAGATATAGATCATAGTTATACTATATAGCTAAACGAGTGAACAATCTCTAAGAATCAACGTACCACTAAACTATATATTTCAAAATTAATCTATTTACAAACGATTGTTTAAAGCGCTCCGTGTTTACATTAGGGAACTGACAGGTGTTATTGCGAAGTCTTCTGGATGAATCCTTAACTTTTGGCAAGTATGCAAAAAGAGGATGTTCGGGCATATTACTTATCTTTGAAAAGTTCTTTAAAATCTGATTTTTGTAATAAGCTGCAAATATTTCAAGGATAGGAAATATATTTACGTTTAAAACACTTAGTTAAACATTTTTTATCGTAGTTAGTTCTGGCGTTGAAGCACCATAAATCATGATTAATGTAGTGTACAAACAAAGATAGAATTGCTGGTCTTCGTATACAATATCAAGAGAAATCCAGCAATTTATTAAGGAATTGTCACAGCGTAGAATATTCCAGATTTCACAACAAATTTCTTGTTTTTCTTTTGAAATTTAAGCTATTATTTCAGTTTAGTATAATTTATTTAGTTAATTACTATTTAGTTCRGTTATTGTTTATTTTATTTATTTCTTTATTTAGCTTTAGATTATTATTATTGTTATTATTATTGTATATTAATTTGTATGTTATAAAGTTGTGAAATATGAATAAAAAAATGTAAAAAATAATAAAAATAAATAAATATAAGTAAATCATGATTCCGTATAAGATCTTAGATAACACTATACTTTTAAAAAGATAATCTACTCAGTTTGTATAAAGCCCTCCACGTAAACACCTAATGATATAGAGACACTTATTGGCTTCTACTAGCTTAAGTCGTACGTGTTCTGAAAATTTACAGTTATTCTGAAATGTGACGCCTAAGATCTTTACAGAATTCAACTGGGTAATTACCCTGACTGGAATGAACTGACTACCGACAATGTTCTTTTTGCAAATAGCTAACTCATTGAATTTGGCTAGATTACACGGCATACAGTTGCTATATGCCCAGTCCATGTACATATTTACAGCTATTTCTGACTCATCATGACCATCTTTGTCAACAGCCACTGCTAGTGTGGCATCGTCAGCGTACTTGGCAAGCACGACTCACGAACTGAAATTAACTTCTAGGTCATTAAACGCTACCCTGGGTTGTAACCTTATTAACTGTTTTCCAATACTGTACCACTGTAAATTACTCGCTTTTTGCGATCCTTAAGAAAACTAAGGTACCAGTTAGTTATAAAAGGATCTAAAAAAAAGTGATTTGAGTTTTTCACTTAACAGAATATGCCTTACTTTATCAAACTGCACTACAGTTCTTATCATCGAGAAAGCTAAGGTAGTCATGCTGAATCTTGATGAAAGCATCGGTACTGCTACAGACAGTTCTATATGCAAACTGAGTAGAGCTAAGATTATTTTCCGCGAGATCCTTAACAAACTTGTGATAAACTACTTTTTCAAAACTGCATGCGATGACTTGAGTAACATTTATTCCCCGGAATTCTCCATGTTCAGAAGGAGCATCGATCTTAGGCAAAGGGTTGATGTTAGACATTTTCCACTGCCTAGGCCAGGTGTCCGTTGCTAATGACAAGTTCCATAGATATTTTATCACGCGAGCGAGGTATAACGCGTTTTCGCTCCAGAACCAATAAGGGATTCCTTCGGGACCGGCTGCCGTTTTTTTTTCACTTTGGACAGAGCTATGTGAACGTCTATGTAACTGAGTTTAGGTGGCGTAGTAATGGTCTTGTCAATGCTGATTGGCGTAGGCTCCACATACTGGTTGTTATGACACAGTTCTCTAAAGTAATCGTTCAAGCCAGTAAGAAACTGGCTTTTGATGATAAATATAAGAAACAAGAGACACCTCGCACGAAGCAATGTGATTAATAATTTACTCGCCAAAACATTCCAAAAAGAAAGAAAAACACGTTGAAATGGGGCAAGAAATGACCA